TCCCTCCCTCTCTCTCATCCTCTCTCTCTCTTTTTCATACACACACACGCAAATCTTAGAAACCACAGAACAGCTAAATATGTAATTCTAGACACGAAATTTCTTATCCAAGTTCTAAACACATTTCTTAGGTCAAGGTTAAAGTTAAACTACATTGAGACACAGGTGGTTGGAAGACAAAAAGCTCACCTCCAAGATGACAGTGTAATACTAGAGGTTCCGCCCTTCTCTGTGGAAGATTTTCACTAAAACCATGTCTGACAAACCTAATCATCGTCAGAAATGCATCGCTGCTAGTTGTGTATCCTAGGGAGGACCTCATTGACGTAGTGAAGTTTGCGATCGATGGAATTTCATGGTTTTCTTCACAATGTAAAGACGTGGGGTCGTGTGGCGTAACGGCAGTGTTCGCCTCAGAACCATGAGGTCCTGGGTTCAAATCCTGCCATGCCATGGATTTTGTGTTCTTGGGAAAGGTACTTTACACGACTTTCATAACTTCAGTTCGGTGAAAATGAGTTTTATTCATTTGCGTTGTTGGTGGCATAAATCTCTATTTTTCCGTCACCATGTCTTGTCATTCAGACATCTACTCTACTCTACTCCATAAAAAATAATCGTATAGACTCTTACTCTCCCCCAAATTAACAACGTGGGTTCAAAAACAGTAATATGTAGCCAGATAGTAGATTGGACACCGTAGAGTTTATTTGGCCCCACTGCTCAGAGAGGGAAATCAACCTTCCCGCGGATCGACTCTCCTGGCCAATTATTCTTCCCTTTTTTGCCAACTTGTACGATCCCGGTGCCCCCGTAGGAAGGCCTGGTGGAGGTCACCCACACTGTCTTATCCACTCACACTAGGGAGGAACCCTGGTACTCTTTTGACAAGTGTGATGGATTTAACATGCTACAGGTGTGGCTTTGCCAAACACGCCCATCCCAGAGGACGTCCCTAACTGACGCTAGGTAGCATGCATCCTCACATGAGCCATGTGAGGAAATGGGTATAAATGGCGTTTCTCAGGTGGCGTTTCCCAAGGGTACAACATTGGCGCTGCTAGGGATTCGAACCCACAACCTTTACATACACCCAAGACGGCTCGCACGTTTCGAGACGTCTCCGCTGGAGACATCTAACTAAACAATCATTGCTAGGAATTCATTGCTAAAATCCAGAACATAATATAATTAGATTCTAAATCAACAACCCTTAACACAAGATCACCTTGCTACCGTATGTCTCATTAAACGTGACACTGAAGCTCCTTCTCCAAACGTGACAGCGAGAGTCCCTCTGTAAACTCGACAGGGAAGGACCCTTAATAGACGTACTGTCTAGTGCGATGTTCAAGAAGACATCTTTTAGCTACAACCTGTCGCCTGCGCTTCCTGGTGAGTGGCATGTGGGTACATTTACTGTCTCCCTCACGCCACTCCGGCGCCGGTCTGGAGTCATCCTTCCACCTGAAGTGGCGACAGGGCTTTTAAAGACACGTGAGCACTGCTACACTCTAACTAAGAGTTGTTTTCACAGACCAGAGCAAATTAAAGCGACTTCGCATGACAGGACACATCCACACGTTTGTGTCTAGTGGAATATTAAACACACTTAGACTGTAAGAGCAGTAAAAGTACGTGGTTAAAACTACCCATACAAGCAAAGGATTTCACAGAAAACTCGGCTAAAACTTGTTAGAGCGAACATCAACTTATTTCTTATTTATATAGGCGTGGTTGCTTTCATTGTAGGTCGCCGCACGATTTTGATGTCGTAGGCAGCCGAAAATTGCCACCAAGGATCTGAAGACACTGTCTTTTCCACAACGAGACAGCCGAATGTTGTAAGACTTATCCAAACTATAATACTGACCCAAGTTTGTGATCGTACGGCTTTCGCACGACGTATGTGAAAAGTTCCTAAGAGTTTGAAACTAGAGGGACATTTGTATTCCTTCCCATAGCAGTGCAGGATTGCCTCGGAAACTTGGCTTACGTTTGCTAGTGTGAGAATAAACTCATTTCCTTCGCTGTAACACAGTTCTTCATCGTCTCAAGTGTAGTGTAAGGAGTGAGATCACAGCTAAGAGCACCCTTCAAAATAGGTTTCCCTGTCGTTTTCCGTTTTTTCTTTCCCTTCGGGAGACTTCTTACTTTCATCATGCCCAGTCTTGATCAGATCATCCCGCCCAACTCACCGACTTCACTCCGCTGATGAGGAAATCGATGCCACACGGCACGGCTGATTGAAAGCCTTTGTTTCCCCTCTCCCACATAACTCCAGTCGATCATGCTTGAAAGGATATCCAGAAAAGCGCTAACGCCGATATGCAGAGAGAAAATGTTTCCCCTGTATAGTTATGCATGCATTTGCTTCGATTTTTATTACTCAAAGGTAATAAGCATGTCATACGTTTAGTCCGCTAAGCCGTTTTACCCTGCATGCACATAAATAATGCACGTGCACGATGCACTTCTGAGGTACATTTGGACGATCTTTTAATGTTAAGTTGGGTTTCCGGCGACTGGCGGAATTTCAAGGATAGTTTGCAGCAAATTGGAATCAATTCTTGGCCCCCTACTTCAACGACCTTGCCACCCGTGTACGCCAAATGGGTTTCTTTGTATCGAACGACTTGGGAGATCGACTGGAGTTCCCTTAAATCATGTTCTTACAGTGTCACCGCTAAGTCAGCGAGAAGTTCGTTATTCGACATTGGAAAGGGGGGGAGACTCTTTGAAGTCTCCGTCTGGCTTCCAACAACGAAAACGAATTGTGACGATGAATCATGGACTGTGGGCAGTAATACTGTCATCTATCTGAGACATCGGTTGGACCAATGGGAGGACGCGATGCTAACCTTGTTTGATAATGATTGACGTATCGAACGGACGAGAATTATCCTGAGAGAAATGGCGGTATATGCGAAGACTCCATTTTGAATATTGCAGTCTATCCCCTTAATGTTAAATTTTATGGCAGGGTAGTAAGACAGGCTAGCGATGGCATTATGTATGACTGTAAATGTTCTTCTGAACACATGGATCTTCCCGTTAACTTTCTACAATGTACTTAACACTGCAAACTTAAAAGATAAAACAATGGATCATGAACTTAGAATTGACATTGAGCCAAGGACGTTCTACATGAAGCTAAGGCTATGTATTCTTGACTGCTCTATACAGGTTACTCCTGACATGTCAACATGTTGTGAGTGTGAAGGACGCCATGATCGATAAAGATGTCTTTTACACGCCTTATTCAAACGAAGTCCACGTGTAAGTACATTTTATGGTGCTGGGCTTGAACGTGAGTGAACTTAATTGATTTTTTTAATCCCTCATATTTTTAATCGTTGACACACGGCCGCGGCATGGCTTTACTACGCATTACTTGCCCCAAGCATGAAACCACGTTTTCCTTTTACAGATTGAATATAGCTACTTTTAAACTTACCTTATGGAAAACAACTTAAAAGGCGCAACCTACAGAGCACAATCGACAAGATACAACCTACAAAACACAGCCTACAAGCCCCTTCAACAACTGTTTCATCTTCCTAAGGAACCTAAGGAAAGTAAGCCCGAAATGAAAGTCAAGGTTGTATACTTTTATGTTTTCCCTAACTGCTCTTAAGACTAGATAAAGTCTTCATCACATTCTTTCATGGTCATTCTAGACACTAAGTGCCGACGTAAAATGTTGAATGTGTCACGCAAAAACGTTCACGCGAAGCCATGGCTCCCGTAGGATTCGAATTAATCGCTACGAATACAGTACTCCTTTCAGTCTCACAATGTGTTTTGCACGAGTTCTCGCATTTTGACGTCCTAAACTTATTGAAAACCATTCCGCCGTTGACAACTCCATTCGTTTTCTCACTGTTGTAATACGTAGGAGATATTCAATTGATGTCAGCTGTCATGAGTATGGCTGGCTGCACTGAGTTCTTCAATACGTCCAGTGGTTTGCGGATTGTCGTTACATTTGTCTTGTCTTAGCTAGCAGTGATATATTTCAAAGCTTGAAATCAATCTTTATGCAAGGCGACTCGAAGATTGTGATAAGCTATATGATAGAAGGCTTGTTGTCTGCAAGGAAGTATGACGGAAGTTATCCAAATATATCACAACGTCTGTTGAAACAGTTTTGTTTATTCCGAACACGATCTAGCTTCTCGAAGCAGTTCCTCAAAACTTGTGGTTTCCATTATTTTGTTATTTATTACATTTTTTGTCATGTGTGACATGAAAAGTAATTTTCCGTCACATCTGTGACAAAAAAACTTTTGACTAAAAATCTGCAGAAAACTTCACTAAAGTAAATCATATATACTTGAAGATATTATTCGTTTGCCTCTGTAGAAAGAGGTGTTGCAAAGATTAGGTCTGGGCTTGGTGTCTTGAATAGGCCAGGTAGACTAGCGCCACATTGCGAAATAATATTAACATGCAGGCATTTTTTTCGAATGAAACCTTCTCCCCTTGATTGGCAGTACCTGGAAACTGGACTGTTTTCTATAGCTGGAATTTGTTTTAGAATGCGTTTATAAGGCCATGTTGATTTGATTATATGGATGACATCCTCCGGGAGCCCCAAAACTGATGCGAGCGTGCGAATAAAAAAAAAGTTTTGCAAAAAAAAAAAGTTCTTTTCATTATGAAATCTACGTGGTCATGAGGGTTGAGCAAATGGCACAGAATATGGTTTGGCGAATAATCTAGTCTTCAAGTTCATTTCTTTACAATTTCGTCTTTTTTTTTGGTTTGATTTTGGCATTCTACGACATTGGTATAGTTTTTATTAATTTTTTTTGTAACTTATGGTATATTTTTGCTCATTTTGCAACTGTTTTGTACGATTTACAGTATGGTTGAAAACTTTTTTTTTGGGAAATGGCCGAAAATTCATGCGCGCGCGGATGTCATCCATATAATCAAATCAACATGGCCTAATGGCAAAAGAAGTGATACAACACAGCCAATTTGTGTTCAAAACATCAAAGTTCATCTTTCTTCACAGCAGCTAGTTTGGGGACGATCTCGTTCCAAAGTTTTACTTTCTCCGTTTTGAGTCCGACTCCAGTGGTCGGCACCACGTCCAGCTTCATGTAGACCGGGTTGTCAGGTGTGTACTGAGGCCAGGTCGGCAGGGAGGGGCTGTCAGGGGGTCCGCCGGTGGAGTCGGAGGGATCGCTGCAACAGATCATCAAATGTATTGAAAACTCAAAGTAAACAAGAACTATTATTAAAGAAAAAAGGAATTGGAGATTTTATACTTTCGAGATGTCTATTGGGTTTTGTAAACGTATTAGGCCTGTGGAGGGGTTGTATGGTGTAATTTAATCGGACATTGCACCATGCCTGTTCCTGAATTTCTCCATATACAGTATACCTACTCCCCAAAACGCACACGTGTGTGCTGCGTAACCTTCAGGTTTTACTCTCCCACCTTTCTAAATCACCTCCCACCCACCATACAGCTTAAGCAATTAGGACAGAGACAAGAACCTAGATCTCAGCCACCCGAAACATTATACTTCCGTACCCGAAACTAGAAATAACAAGGAGATAAATTGTCTAGCTATAGGCTCACCCATGCCTGACACTGCCTAGTCCTTACCCAGTCCGTGCGAAGTTTGCCCAGTACGCCATCATGCTCAGGCTGACGTGCTCGTCTGTCTTGGAGTAGTCTATGGGTGTTCCAGGGACGTCCACAAACGGTAGTCCCAGGACCATGAACAGGTCATCCATATGGTCACACCCCACCCAGTCTGGTCTGTTCGGGTGGATGGAAGGTCGGTACTCGTTCTCGTACAGGAAGATACGGCCTCCATTGGCTGCAGATCAGGGAATAACAATTAATGGTTACTTTATGGTGCGGAAGTATTGTTTTGAGTGTCTGTGCTGTGGATTTGTGCGTTTCGTATCCGGACAGGGTGGAAGATTGATATGGCAGAAGGCGAAAGGTCTCAGATTCTGATCAAGGGAAAGCAAATCATAAAACTACATGTGTTCGTCGTATGCTAATCACTGTGAATATAGTTGGGCAGCATCAGGTATCAAACATATAGAAGCCATGATATTATAGCTGATATGAATCAGTTGTACCAGCATGTTTGTCAGCCGCCAGAACTGTTGGCCCCACGAACATGAAGTCTCCAAACGCATGTGACAGCTGGTACAGGATCGACATCGGGTCTTCGGGCGTAGTCGGGTGCCGATAGTCAGCGACGATGGTGTCCGCCATTTTGTCCAAGTTTTGATTACCCTGAGCGTAATGGTAGAAGTAGAAAACACGAGGTAATAAGTAAATATACACTTTGCTGAATTAGACCTATAACTAAGAAATGCCTAAGGACTTGGACAAGAGATTTCATGTTTAGACCTAGTTGTTCTACAGCTTCTAAACGTGTGTGCGTGAGTGTGTATGTTTCTCTCTCTCTCTCTCTCCCCCCTCTCTCTCTCTGTGTATGCTTGCGTGTGTGCGAGAGAGTGTTCCAATGTGTGTGTGTGTGCGCGCGCTCGTGTTTGTGAATGCTCACGTGTGCTTGTTTGTTTGTTTGTTTGTTTGTTTGTTTGTTTGTTTGTTTGTTGGACAGTCACTTTGGGAACTGTACATTATCATTATTGACAGCGGTAAACATACCTGATAAGACATCAAAGTTACCGCCTTCACAAAATTGATAAACTCCTCTTTAGAACTCCCAACAAGAGGATCCCTTTGAGTCGTCGGTAGCATGATCCACCCGAACACGTGGTTGTTTACTCCAAGTAGATACTCTGCCGGGTTTACTTCAGAACCTTCTCCTGTCTGCGTCTGGTCAGTAGGGTCAGACTTTAAGAATACCCCATCTACAACTGGTAGAAATGTTAGTAAGCCCAACATCTGCTGTATGGGCGCCACCTTTTCCAAAAGCTCTTCAACTGTCTTCTTTTTCAGACAGGTTGTAATGGTTGACGTGTCCTTAGTATTGCAAGCGGCGGCTTCTGCCAACATCTTAGTCATCTGAAGAGGCTGTGGGTTGACAGGCATTGTTTTGTACACGCCGCTCTGCGAGATGGCTCTCCGGAACAGTCCATTACTAAGGGGGGAGAGAAGGTGGTAGGACACGCTCACTCCGCCTGCCGAGTCTCCAAATATGGTGACTCTTCCTGGATCTCCACCGAAGTTCCGGATGTTCTCCCTCACCCATTCCATAGCACGGACCTGTACGTACGTGAAGAAACACATGTCGTTATATGCTGAATGCCAGGAAAGGTGATGGTTGCTTTTGGAACTTTAGGCAACTGTTATATCTGACATATGTCACTATTGTCGATGAAATTTATGAAGTTAAACATCCAGGTAATGAGATACGCAGGATATGCCAGTTTGACGATATTTTACTACGATAATAAGAGCCACTGACCTGATCCAGGAATCCGTAGTTTCCTGGCATGTTGTCGTCTCCGGTGCTGAGGAAACCCAGCACACCCAGACGGTAGTTAATGGAGACCACAACGACGTCTTGGTGAGCGGCTAGAGACTCGAATCCGGGAAAAGCCCCCATGCCGACAGACAAAGCGCCGCCATGGATCCACAGAAGGACCTGCATGTGATATTTGTGAAGGCAACTTCTGAACATCCAACGGTCTTCGAATAAAAATCTACCTGTGTGACGTTGACTGACATTATAAAGATTTTCAACCATCTCTCAACCAAGACGGGGGTCGATACCGACTTCCGTGGACCTTTGACCTGTTGATCACAAAGAAATGCTGTACGATAAACAGAAGCAAACTCTTTTTTTACCTTTGTGAACGGAGGTATTGTTAAATAGTACCCTATGCCTTACCGGTAAAGCCACGTCTGTTTTCACAGTTGGAGTGTAGATGTTGAGAGTCAGACAGTCCTCGCTCATGGTCATGTTCATTCCGAGTTTTATAGGAAAGTCAATCATGTTAAAATACAGAAGGTTTTGCGGACAGTAAGACCCATATTCCACAGCGTCCCTGACGCCCTCCCACGGTACTGCAGGCTGGGGCGGGCGGTACCGGAGATCTCCGACAGGTGGCGCTGCGTACGGGACGCCCAGGAAAGTGTAGATCGGTTTGTCGGGAAGGTCGGTTGTGTGGGTGGTTGTTCCACGGACTTGTCCAGTTACGGTGGTCACAACTAGGCCGCCATCTTCACCGGTTGCGACACCTTCATAAAATTGGAGTAGGATTTTTTTCTTCAAAATTGTGCACGGTATTTTGCAAATTTAAAGCCTCACATCTTTTGATAACCCTTCAAAGAATAATCTGAAGGTAAAGCTGCACAGATCGTACTTGATGATAAACAAAAATCAAGACGACCAAAATAACATTGTGGGCAAATATTTATTAAGAGCGAGGATACTCTGTACCCCTATCCGATAATTGTTCCTTCCGATAACTTGGACCCTATCCAACCATTTTTGTTCACACATATACCGGTGTTGTGATTTTGTACCTTGCATTATTCTCACACATTTAAAGACATTGTATAATAAATACAATATCCTTATTAACCAAGTATCAACCTTTGCATTTAATGTAAGTCTAATATATTCAAGACCTATTCTTGTAGCTAGAACAGGTGTAAAACTTGTGAATGCACAATGTAGGTTATACCTGTCAATGATTAAGCTATCTTATCGGTGAAACCTGTTTGCATGAAGGCACAGGTACCAGCACAAAAGGGTCAATTCACATAAATCACTCTTGAAACAACTATTGTACTGTAACGTACGGTGACGTTTATGTAGATAGTTTGACAAAAATAATCCCCGATATTAAATGATTTATATTTCATTAGAACCTCTCAACATGTGTGCGTGCCGCGATGTGACTCGTGTATACACTAGTGTGTTATCAAACGTAGTTTTGTAGTCAACAACGAGCGAGTAACAACAATTTGCACTTACCGTAAGAGGAAACGCAAAACCCGATAGCTACAAGGCAAAATACAAGAACTCCGCTGGTTTCCATGTTCCCTGTCGTCACAACTAACTAACCTATGTCACGCCTACCCCGGTTTAGAATTACCTGTACACAGTAGTCGTTAGAGCACTCCGTGTGCGTAGTGACGCGGACTTTGTTTGATTTTTTGACTATGTCAACTAATCTGGCATGGGGGCCGACTCGGTTACAAGAAAGATCCCGTTAACTTTTCACACAAGCAAATAACTTTGAGGCTTTTCGTCTTAGAACGGCACAGACATCTAATATGAATACATGTAAGAATATCCTGTCAGAAGTCTAATTGCAAGTAGCATTGCGAACAATAAAGAACAATTAAATTACTCTAGTCTGGCTCTATATTGTTCCATTTCTGGTCACAGTTTACAATGTTTACAGTCCACCATATTGAAACTTTGTAATTTGGGAACTGATTGGCTTGTGCACGTGCAAGCATTGATATTAATAAGCAAGGGCATCAAGAGTTGGTGGTCAGATACTTTTGTCAAAAACATCAAAGTTCATCTTTCTTCACAGCAGCTAGTCGGGTGATAACTTCGTTCCAGAGTTTCATTTTCTCCGGTTTGTACTTGCTGCCAGTTGTCGGCTCTACGTCCAGCTTCATGTAGACCGGGTTGTCAGGTGTGTACTGAGGCCAGGTCGGCAGGGAGGGGCTGTCAGGGGGTCCGCCGGTGGAGTCGGAGGGATCGCTGCAAGAACACAAATGATAACTCGCTTTATTTCTGAAGAAGCAAGGAGCTGTAAGATTTGAAGCGAAGGTTTTTTTTTGTTATTTTGTTTGTTTACTTCTGGCCATGGCTGGGAAAGCATCGTTAGTGTTTTAGGTGGCTGATATTTGTATTTGCGCATCTATTTGTCAGCGTATGTTGACAACACGTTAGTGGGGAAGATTGACAGACAGAATGGCAGGAAGTCAAAAGGATCTGGTCTGGAGCTAGCAGAAATTAGAGGTCGACATGGGAGAATTCAGGAGGCCTAGTATTAGATATTTCCGGCGAAATATTATAATATGTATGGTTTTGTTCCTATAAGACACATTGTATTCCGCCATAGTCGCGATGCATTCTTCGATTTCTGGTAGGGTACTCGGGGAGTTCGCCACAGTACTGAATGTGTTTTATGTGCCTAGAATTACACATTTTAATGCCTAACATGGCTACTACTTACCCAGTCCGTGCGAAGTTTGCCCAGTAGGCCATCATGCTCAGGCTGACCATCTCGTCTTCCCGGGTGTACTCGATGGGAGGGTCCGGGAACTTGAGAAACGGGAGTCCCCACACCATGAACAGGTCGTCACAGTGGTCACACCGCACCCAGTCTGGTCTGTTCGGGTGGATGGACGGTCGGTACTCGTTCTCGTACAGGAAGACACGACCTCCAGCCGCTGCCAAACAATATTCATATCAACATTTAATGATAACGCATGTAATTACTGAACGCATGTTTCAACATATTGATCATAATGAGTTTAATGCTGTTTAAGAAATTCAACATTGCAAAGAACAGACTTGAAGATAAAAAAGATAACCTTATCTTGTTGATAACCCTATTGTAGCATGTCAAAAATATTATGTTGTGAATACATTTTACAATAAACTTTCTGCTTAAATATGTTAAAGTATTTTAAAAACCTTACCGGCGTGGTGATCAGCGAACGAAACGGTAGGCGCGACCATCAGGAGATCTCCCCACATCTGAGAGTACTGGTACTGGATAGACAACGGGTCGTCAGGCGTGGTTGGATCCCGGTACTCTTTGACGATGGCTTCCGCCATTTTCTCTGCGTTTGGATTTCCCTATAATAAGATATTATAAAGGTATATATATATATATATATATATTTATATACTCTCGTCTCGAATCGTGCTTGTACGAAATACATGTCAGGCAAATGCTACTCGTATTTACCATGTTCTTTGTTTCTCATGGTCCACAACAAGACATCGTCTTCGTTGGTGGCTTGTCACATACGTCATACGATCGCCGAACGATTGCAACCGAAGGGCATTCTAGTGTCATGAACATGACGTTCAAACTTCAGCTCATCCGTTTCAAATAAATGCTGTCTTACATCCTTTCCAGCGATTTATTATGTCAGCCTGTTTGAAAACAACAAAATCGTACGGCGACGGCCTACAATGAATCAGTGAGCACGACATAAGATACAAATTAGTACACCCACCACTTTTTGAGATCTCACATGTTATACTAAGGTGCTAAAATATGTATACTCACAGGGTACTTGTATTCCAACCCTTGCATCACCCCCATCGCGAAGTCCTCGTGGGACATTCCAACATGGACGTCTCCTGGAGTCAAGTCCGACAACATCAGCCAGCCGAACTCGTGGTTGTTGAACCCGAGCAGATAATCCGCCGTGTTGACTTCTCCTTTCCTCAGCAGCTCTGCCGGGTCGGCCGTCAGGAAGGTCCCGTCCACAATCGGCATGAAGGGGAGCTCCCCGACCGTTTGGTGTAAGGATTCGTGTATGTCCAATAGCTCCTGGGGCGGTATCTCCTTCAGGCAGGTCGCTAAGGCAGCAGTGTCCTCCAAGTCGCATCCGGCTGCTTCACCGACCATCAGAGCGATGGTCTGCGGTTCGACCGGGAAGGTTTGGCAGGTGCCGCTCTGAGAGATGGCTCTCTGGAACAGACCCTTACTGAGGGGTGACAGGAGGTGGCAGGACACGCTGTCGCCGCCTGCTGACTCTCCAAATATGGTGACTCTGTCAGGATCTCCGCCGAAGTTACGGATGTTCTCTTTCACCCACTCCATGGCACGAATCTGCAAGTTGGAGTATTTTGCTGGTTAAAATATGGCTAGCTAGCAGTTGGGCTTCATGATACTGTGAATCCCGGCACTGGAAGTATTGCTTTTAATCGGGTGGATGAGATGTTGGTTTGTATGTTGACTTGTCCGGACAAAGTAGGTTCACAGCAGGTGGAAGATTAACAAGTAGAATGACAGGTGGTCAAAATGTCAGACACAACAAATAAGGAGAACTTTGAGAGGTTAACAGCACGTGGGTGGGGAAGATTGACAGGCAGAATAGCAGGGAGTCAATAGACAATGTGCTGGAAATGAGATGTACTTGAAGGTGACGAATAAATTGCAGTAAATGACTGACACTATATAGCTATTATCCTACTAAGACCAGTTGACTTCTGTATCGCTATCATTTCATCGTTATTACCTTTGAAATGAAGAGTCACTGACCTGGTCCAGAAATCCGTAGTTTCCTGGGATGTTGTCGTCTCCCGTGCTGAGGAAACCCAGCACACCCAGACGGTAGTTGATGGAGACCACCACGACGTCTTGGTGAGCGGCAAGAGACTCGAATCCGGGAGGTGAACCCATGCCGAGGAAGAAAGCCCCTCCGTGGATCCATAATAAGACCTACGGAGAGTATATATACGTATAGATACTAGTGATGCGTAAGTTGCATATTTCATGCATTTATATTGATGTATATGGATTTGGCACACGTGGATATGACATGATCATGAGCGAATGCGTCATTGATGGACAATAAACGTTTTGGCTCTTTTTCTAAATAGTAGCCTCACCGGTAAGACGGAGTCTGCTGCTACAGTTGGAGTAAAGATGTTGAGTGTGAGACAGTCCTCGCTCGTCTTGCCATCCGTTTCCCACTTGAGAGGGAAGTCCAGCTTGTTGAAAGCTGTGGCATTTTGGGAACAAAAGTGGCCAACTTCAACAGCGTCCCTGACGCCCTCCCACGGTACTGCAGGCTGGGGCGGGCGGTACCGGAGATTTCCGACAGGTGGCGCTGCGTACGGGATGCCCAGGAAAGTGTAGATCGGTTTGTCGGGAAGGTCGGTTGTGTGGGTGGTGGTTCCACGGACTTGTCCAGTTACGGTGGTCACTACTGGACCATTATCCTGGCTGGCTTGAACACCTAGCGGGAGAGAAAATAGAATGCACACCATGTTACGTCTGAAATGTTTCCATGCACCAGACAAGAAATTATTAAACTGTGTACGTGACCTTTGACACCTCATTGTAGTTTCTTCTGGTCACCATTTAATATCTTCACAAAGAAGATCCACACGTATATTTAGCATGTCAGCGACATGAAAATCCAAAATGACTTCCGTAAACATTTATGTTTGCATGAAGCCGCTTGTGAATGGGGCTGTCCCAAAAAATCACTGCGACCGATAAAACTTTTAGGATCTTTTAGTGCTGTTCCACCCCGCCAAACACCCACCCCCGTACAAATTTACTGTGACTATCGTGTCTGAGTACTGAGTACAAACCATCCAGGACCAAATATATTTTCAAAAATTGCCGCTGCAGTACCAAGGTCAATCACCAGGTGCCCCAAATCGATCAGTACAATCCATTTCACCCCACTATCCCATTCCGGCCGACCGATATAGACATATACCCCCAAACTTTATGCAGACCAAAAACAGTACATGTACCTACGATTTCATGGAGGTAACAAGGTAGAACTAGTCACTATATCACGGAACACTTACCACAAGAGGAAGCACACAACCAGATGACTGCAACATGAAACAGGTGAACTCGCTGGACGGCCTCCATGACCTTCCGAGTTAAGACCTAAACCTAGTCGACACGCCCTCAACAGTAACCCAGCGGTCGTTTGTGGAGCTGGGTCAGCCTGTTTGCAGACAACTACTGGCGCGTTTGTTTGGTTTGTGAAGAGTGTTTGCTTTCTCCCGGGGTGACGAGTTTCCAACAAAGGCACCGTTAACATTAGATATAATGTTTGCTCGTGCAGACTTGATCTTTTGTGACAGGAAAAACATTGAAAAGAACAGACTGTCACTGAACACAAACAGTAAGTTATTTAATGTGATTTCTGTTGCCACTTTGACCCCCCCCCCACACACACACACACACTTTTTCCACGAGGCGTAGCCAGCTAGGTTTTTTTTCACTCACCGGTAATTCTAGCTAGCGCAGTGTACTTGTAATTATTATTATTGATTAAAAAATTATATTATTATTATATAATTTATAGTACTGTAATTAGCAGTCTTCTTTGTTTTCCAGAATTCATTGTTTAACCAAGAGCATTATATAATGCCCTTTGTTACTACAGTTGGTGGTTTTATTCATTATCTATTCATCTATTAACCTGTCTTATATAAACATAAACGAGGTATAAAAATGGGGAAAGAGACGGGATTAAACGGTGTTAAGAACACGAATGACTTTCGGGTGGATTGTGAGACTTTGATAAACTCTGCCCGTTCCTTATCAATGATGACATAACTGGGCCAACCATCCTCAGAAATGATAACATTTGAGTTGTACGACACCTATTGCCATATTTGGTATGTAATGCCATACTCGCTAACACCGGTGTTAAATCAGGTCACGTCACACCGGATGTTACATAGTACTACACATACATGTACGTAATGCACTTTAAATATATCCCTGACGTTTCTGTAAACACAAGTTTAATCCTAAAAGGAATTACATTCTCTGTACAAGAACTGGTTTGTCACACATGCAGAAAAATGCAGAAACTGTGAAGAAAATAAAGAGCTAGAGCATAACGTTACAGTTTTCTGGAAGAAATCGAGAGTAGTACAACCAAAATAAACAAAACGTTCCAAAGTCACGGGTTAACATAACACCACACGTCGTGTGGTTCCTTTGTTTCAGAGGAACACGTTATTGTGTTTCACTTGGCTGAAATAGACTTGCATTAAAATACTCTTCTTTACGATTCGTAGTATAGGAATTAGACGATGTATTAGCGGACGTACATACATGTACGTACATCTTTGATAATGTTATATTCATAGCTGAGAAACATGTACATGTTAGTTTTATACCTTCACTCTTTGAGCATGTAAACAAATTTGAAAAATCACTTTCCCAAATTTTCTTACATGTTCTGAATGTTCTAAAATCAACTAAAAATTTATTAACAGGCAAATGTAAAAAAATTCTACAGTCAAATAGTCACTCTTCTTCTTTATGCATAGACTCAAGTTCTCTACTTGTTACTACATGAGTGACACATGTACCTAGCAGAAAGATGAAGTAACAGCACGCAATGATACGCTGACTTCATTGAGTCAATGATGCCTAGTGACCTAAAGGACGTTGGTTCCCATGGTAACGACCCCAAGGTCACCCCTGTGCTGTACAGCCGAGGCACACCCCCCAGGCAGTCATGTACAGGACCGCTCCGAACATGGCAGCTCGCGTGCTCGCTACGGTCGTCCCGCTGCTGCTCTGCTGTTTGGGTAAGTCTGCTGCCTTACTAACTATAGAGGATGCTATCCAGCGCTGTGTAAAAATAGGCAAGGCCATGCAGCCAATGTCTATTTATCATATAGTATTATGTGTTATCTTGCATTACTGTGATCAGTACTGTTTTAAGCACAATATAAAGTACAGTTAATTTTTGTCCGCACGGGTAGCCTCGCTATTTGAAAAGTTTCCAGTACGCCACTGCAGTATGTTAGGGGGAGGGCAGCGGTGCTACCTGCATTATGCATGAGAGTAAGCTCCCTTCGCTAAGAACATGATTACACACGTTACGGGTCACAGTGCACTACTGCCTCGGGCTAGATCGATATTAGGTAAAGAGCTTTTTTAAGCAGGGTGACGCCTGAATGGATCGGCATTGTTAGGCCACGTAATTTGACGTAATACGACCTTCGGTTGTGGCACTCTTAGGTCAGTCTTGCGTTTAACTAAGGTTCATGACAATGCAAAATGTAATTTGAGGCTGTCCTTGGGACTTACGGTACATTTGTCGTGTCAATGAGGTTCTGTCGTAGATATCTCTCGGACAGTTGGCTAATAGCCTCGCCGACAGACTTACGACAAGATCGTGGAATCTTTTTCAAGACGAATACATGTGGGGATACCTGGCAAGAACTCCTTAATCTCACGAACCGGTTTTGCACTGCACGGGCGAATTCTTCATAAATTTAAGTTTGCATTCAGCATGTTCAAATCAGTGCCTGTGATTTCATAATACAACTTCATTCTAATGTGTAAACTAGAGTGTCCCTTTATCGAAGCAGACACACATACCCACGTTACCAGCTATAACGTCTCGTACCTGCACCTTATGTACACATGTCAGATGTGAAAGGTCAACATACTCTCAGTGGCCCGCTATGTAAACAATGTGTGCGCGGGGCCCAATTTCCAAGCAGATGTAGGGTGCGGCTCAGTCTCGTTGCTGTACGCGTGAATTTGCCGCAATTATTTCTGTAGTGTTCGTTTATTACCACCCACCCTCTACTGAGGGGGGTGGGGTTGGGAGACAAAAAAACGGGGACGGACTAAAAGAGGTGTTGGTAAATTGAGCGGGTAAATTCTCCTCGAAAACTAGCCGGAAATCCCATATATGTTATTTGGTCCGCTCCAAACGTTGGTACCAGCACGTGTTGTAGCGAAGTTGGCAACAAAACAAGGCTAGCAAGACGGGATTCCGGTTCTGGCTAGCGGAAATCACTGTCTTGACCCTGCATCTGCTTGGAGAATACGCCTAACGACCTTTGCACGACCTTGTCCTGCCACAGTAGTAGTCCCCAAGCAGATATAAGAATCCGGTCCGGGCTCCCTGGTTTACGGATGTCTTTACAACATTTAGCCACGTCTTTCCAGAACCGGTTTTTTAAAAATGATACGACTTCCAAATGTCGCAAAAAAATGAAACACTGGAAATGTTTCTTTCCAAATTGTCTTCGTGTAAATTGTGCATGCTCGAGGTCAAAGGTTAACACCTGATCACTAATGCGGTTTTTTTTCGTAATAAGACAACAGTCTGCCACCATTGGTTACCTAGCAACTGGAAACCCATTACATGTGTTGTAGTTGTTTGTTTGTAGGCACCTTCATTTATTCATTAAAGAATAATAAATCACATAAATAAATAATAAAATAAATCAAATTGGCCTGCTTTCCGCTTTTCCGCTTCATGAAGGAAGTGGTCAGTTAGCTAAAATATAACAATATACATAACCTAAGTCCAAATAATACGTAACTATATAGTCATGATAAATCAATTTACATAGTATATATCTTAAATCCCATTAGGTGCTACAGCTGGTCAAGATGACGGCCCAGTTGTGGCCACCGTAACTGGACAAGTCCGTGGAACAACCACCCACACAACCGACCTTCCCGACAAACCGATCTACACTTTCCTGGGCGTCCCGTACGCAGCGCCACCTGTCGGAGATCTCCGGTACCGCCCGCCCCAGCCTGCAGTACCGTGGGAGGGAGTCAGGGACGCTGTGGAATACGGGTCTTACTGTCCACAAAACCTCACCAGCTTCAACGCGATGGACCATGACTTTCCAGAGGAGTTTGGAGAGAACATGACCACGAGCGAGGACTGTCTCACAGTCAACGTCTACACTCCAACTGTGGCACCGGACACTCCTTTACCGGTAAATTTGTACATGTATCTGAATATTGGAAAGTATAATGCCATACGCTAATGTTCCTACATCGTAACGTATATACATGTACAAACTTCTTTGTTTAAAAGTAAAACTACATAGAATAATGTTTAGAAGTGTATTTTCTATTCTTGAAAGAATTATTTTTGTACAAAAAATTACGTCATTGAATCGGCAATAATTTTTGCATTCCAAAAGACAATATATATATTTTCGTTGATCTGAAGTACTGGATCCTTTAGATATAGCTTTGATGAATAGTTTTTCCCGATTCGGAAGTATTATTTTGGGTAGCAGAGCTGTGAGTTTATGTGTCTGTCCAGACAGAATAGGTTGACAGCACGGGGGCGGGCGAGATTGACAGGCAGAATGACGGAAAGCTAAAATATCATGCACAGGAAACTGGAGATTAGGTTGACAGCACGCGGGTGGGGTAATGTTGACAGCAGACATCGGAAATGAGGTAAAGTTGAAGATAATGAAAAGTTGAAATAATTTCCAGACGTCTGAAACTTCCTATTCCTTATCTTTGCAGGTCTTGCTGTGGATCCACGGGGGAGCTTTGATGATTGGATTTGGATCCCCTCCAGGATGGGAGGCTCTCGCCGCTCACCAAGACGTCGTGGTGGTCTCCATCAACTACCGTCTGGGTGTGCTGGGTTTCCTCAGCACGGGGGACGACAACATGCCAGGAAACTACGGATTCCTGGATCAGGTCAGTGGCTGAGGAACGTCACTGATGGTGCCAATATAAAATTATTAACTATTTTTGTTGTTGTTGTTGTTTTGCTTCCGGAAGCATGGGTTGAGTCGTAAGTTTGTTTTAATGGCTTCGCGATGAAAGTGGCTAGGAGGTGATTTTGACAGATAATTGACAGGAAGGCCAAGCATTAACGTGTGACTAAGCAAGCACCGGTTAGTGAGAGTGGGTGGTACGTGGAAGAATTCAGGAAGTGGTGTCATACCCGTTTAAATTACATCATACAATCCCGTCGACCAGGTCCTAATACATTCACCAAAACATGTTAGTCTCTTAGTACGTACGTTTTGTAGATATTGTCTATTGACAACAACAATGTTCTTACAATACAGGTCCATGCTATGAAATGGGTGAAGGAGAACATCCGAAACTTCGGTGGAGATCCCGACAGAGTCACCATATTTGGAGAGTCAGCAGGTGGTATCAGTGTCTCCTACCATCTCCTCTCACCACTCAGTAAAGGTCTGTTCCAGAGAGCCATCTCTCAGAGCGGTACCTGGAAAACATTTCCCGTCAACCCCGATCCACTCACAGTCACCAAGATGTTTGCAGAAAAGGCCGGTTGTGAGACGGAGGACACGGCAGTCATAACGGCCTGTCTGAAAGAGAAGACGCCCGAGGAGCTGCTAGAAGCATTCGCTGCTCTAGGGTTTATACCATTTCTTGTGCCGGTGGTGGATGGGACATTTCTGACGACTGACCCCATGGAACTGATGGACAAAGGAGAAATCAACACAGTAGATTATCTTCTGGGTTTCAACAACCACGAGATGGGGTGGTTGGCGCTGTCGGCATCCGGCATGGAAGGGGACCCTCGTGACGGCATGTCGCAAGAGGAATTCGTCAAACTACTAAGGGCAGCATTGTCAATGTTTTACCAGGTAAATATGTCGGACATTTAGGTTATAAAAATAGAGGACTTCAGTCACACATAGAGCTGTGTACCTAAACAAATTTTAGGTACAGGTACAGGTACAGGTACACAGGTTTAGGTACAGGTCCGGACCTGAACCTGTACCTGAACAATTCGACCAATTTATATGGTCTTCTGAACTCCTTCAATAACAAAAAACATAAATAAACTTGATAGATAAGGTTTATTCTTTGTTTATGGCGAATGCTCAGATAAAATATAGGCAAAACTAAGTGTTTTGTTTTCATGAACACGCTGTCCTTACACAGGGACCCATTGTTAACCACCTTTATACACATTTGAGGTCACAAATAGGCATAAAATTGGTGTGAAATTGTTTAGGTACAGTACCGGTACTGAGGGAGTAGGTATTTTGGACCTGTACCTAATCAATTTTTCCGGTACAGTATCGGTACTGCGTACCGGTACACAGCTCTAGTCACACATCAAAAGTACAGCGACCTTGCAAAGACGTGTGTCATGAAGTTTGTTACGCCCCCCGTCAATATTAGTCACAAACATTTGAGTTATATTGGGTTACAAAAATTGAGCGATATATCTTTGTTGTGTTAGTACGGATTTTTGAACCATAATTAAAAAAATGACTACACTACTTAATCTTGAATTTGGTATCACCCACAGGGCAATCCAAATGTGGAAAAAATGTTGGACGCCGTCGTCGCTGAGTATCGGCCGACTACGCCCGACGACCCTCTGGCGATCCTGTTGCAATTTACACATGTAAACGGAGATTCTACGTTTATAGGTCCTACGATGCTGGCTGCAGAAAAGCATGCAGGCAAGTACCACTTGAATACCTCGCCTTTCTGATACGAATTTGATATGCTTTCGAAAAGGTTTTGCCTGCATATATTTATGTGTTCTTTAACCAGGATGACACTTATAATGACTTAGACACTGTTTAACAGTAAAGCTTTGAATAAGAAATTTTGGTGTTTGCTCCAGTCACCATTTAACTAGTTTAGAAACTGTTCAACATTGTATAAATGTTGTTTCAACAATCTATAAATGTTTTTAACGTTCTTGAATCCTGCTTGACAGATGCCGGTGCTCGTATCTTCCTTTACGAGAACGAGTACCGACCGTCCATCCACCCGAACAGACCCGACTGGGTGGGGAGTGACCACGCAGACGATCTTTTCATGATCTGGGGATTCCCGTTCATGGAGATTAAGGAACAAAAGTACACCAAAGATGACGAGAAGTTCAGCCTCATCATGATGGCCTACTGGGCAAACTTCGCACGGACTGGGTAAGAACTTCATACATAGACAAGAAATCATAGATCTCATACCTCAGTAAAATATTTGACATTATTCGACATTCATTATTGTAAATTTCCCGCTAAACTGTCTATGAATTTGGTTCCCATAATGCAACAGCATGTAAATGTAGCAGGAATTTGAGAATAGGATATGAGATTGCCTTTGCCGGATTTTTGACCTAATTTCCTGCCATTTTACCCGACATACATTCCCAGCATATCTATGGTACAATTACCACGGAAGGCACTGCAAAACAATGAAAAACAACCCTTCAGCCAAGGAAGCAATGCGCCCAGGGTGCAACATAAATGGTGAACAGCAGCATGTACATGTAAGGCTTGAAGTATGGGCATTTGGGTGACATATTTATTCATATCCTGCTATCTTCTAGATTCTTTAATATAATATCACGTTGAGTCTCCACTAAATTTGACAATCTGTTTCAGCGATCCCTCCAACTCCACCGGCGGACCTCCTGACAGCCCCTCCCTGCCGACCTGGCCTCAGTACACACCTGACAACCCGGTCTACATGAAGCTGGACGTAGAGCCAACCACTGGCGTCGGGGTCAAGCCGGAGAAAATAAAACTTTGGAACGAAGTCATTCCTGATTTAGTTGCTGCAGGTACGAAAAGTATGAAATATACATAGTAAGCCAGTAAAATCCTCGTGGGGTATAGGGTGGTGCTAAATCCGTTTTTGTAGCCCTTTGGCAACACAGCAGTGCAAGTAATACGGCAGAAGGCTGTTAAATACTGTACTAGGCAACTAAGTTTTAGTAAAATAAGTGTTGAGCCAACCTTTTTTGGAACTGTATTAATGAATGTCAATTTCTCAAAGCAACGGGATCTTTTTCTACAGTTGTTCGTACAATGCCTATGGTCTGGATTTGTAACTCATATTAATTGGATTGATTTGAAAAAGCAGTTTTTCTTTTATATATAGCGCCCGCTCCAAAACTATGTATCGCATGACCGAGAATTTTATAGAGGTTTATGTACACACAAATGAATCAACCACGATTCCCTCAAATACAAAAAGCTGCGCCTGCCCCCATGTTGATGTCCCTATGACGTCATGAGGAAACGCTCTATACCTGAGTGGAACATAGTATCGTCCGCCATCTTGGATTTTTAAACTTAACCTTTGTCTTCGTCAAATTAGAGACATGTATGGATTTTGGGTCATAAAAGTGTCATAAGTTGCCTAAGATTAATTTCTTACTGTACAGGTGCCCAGAATGACGGTCCAGTCGTGTCAACGGTAACTGGACAAGTCCGTGGAACAACCACCCACACAACCGACCTTCCCGACAAACCGATCTACACTTTCCTGGGCATCCCGTACGCAGCGCCACCTGTCGGAGATCTCCGGTACCGCCCGCCCCAGCCTGCAGTACCGTGGGAGGGAGTCAGGGACGCTGTTGAAGTCGGGCCCTACTGTCCACAAAATATGTCCATGCTCAACACGCTTGACTTTCCAATGGAGTTTGGGAAGGGCATGACCGAGAGCGAGGACTGTCTCACAGTCAACGTCTACACTCCAACTGTGGCACCGGACGCCGCTTTACCGGTAAATTTGACAATATCTAACAAACATAAGAATATGAATTAATTAATTAACATATGCTGATATCATTTTACAACTTTCCGTCATTTTAAGATGCATGATTCATGTAGTATTTGTGTTCATATGTTAAATGAGAGCACAACATGAAACAATGTTTAATTTAACCCTATCTAGACCGGGGGGGGGGGCTAAAAGTGCCCGCGCCAACTTTGATGTCACATAGCGTCTGAATGGCTAGGGCTAGAACGACCAAACTTGGTGACTTTTCCTAAAATATTGTTGGCAACAATTTTCTATCATTGGAATAAGATAGTAATTTTTTGTGTTGCCATGGCAACGGGTTTCTGACAGGCATTTTTTGCTAAATTTAGTAATTTTTGTTTCAACAATAGAATTTTATGGGTTTTATGTCAAGTTACTCATGGTTTCTAATATTAATAACATCCCATATGAATTTATGTAAATTTTATCATTAAATATGCATAATTTATGCTAATTTGATGACGTCATTGGCCAAAATCCAAGATGGCGGACCATATCATTAGAACAGGTATATACAAGTTATTTTCCTTAAAATTTCATCAATACTTCCATTTCTTTTTCCAAAAAAGGTTTAAATGAAGGTCTTTGGTATGTTTACAATGTATTTTAGGCTTTATCACGAAAAAAACTATTTTTGAAAATTCAACATTGATGATCCAAGATGGCGGATATCTTAAATATGTATGACGTCATTTTATGACGTCACCGGTGTTGCTATGGGCAACATAAGACTTAGTACACTAATATTCTGTCATAAACACTTTTGGTAAAGTTATGTTGTATACCATTTAGTTTTCAGGGAATAGCCTATCTACCGCAATAATGACGTCATATTACGTCATAATGACAAAAAAATTGTAGATATGATAAATTTTAACTAGTACACCATCCTCTGAAAATTTGGTAGCCATACGACATACCGTTAGCGAGTTCTGAGGGGGGGGCCGAAAGAGCCCCCCCCCCGGTCAAATCTTGCTCAAAAAAGCCCGGTCTAGATAGGGTTAAAGCCGAGGTTGTCTGATTTAGTAATATCCTTCGTGTAAAAGGAATCTGAATATTGCTGAATTCTTTTTTAATGCATTACAAGTTTCCAGTAAAAACTTCTTGCACTGTAAAAGAGAAAATCTGTAAGTTTGAATTCTTCCAAAATCCTCTACTGTACGTAATTTTATATTGAATCAATACAAATTTACAACACTTTCACAGTACAAGGCATTATATAAATATCTGACTCAATGACATATACTCTGCAGGTGCTTCTGTGGATCCACGGGGGAGGTTTATCGGTATTCTATGGTTCACCTCCTGGATGGGAGGCTATCGCCGCTCACCAAGACGTCGTGGTGGTCTCCTTCAACTACCGTCTGGGTGTGCTGGGTTTCCTCAGCACGGGAGACGACAACATGCCAGGAAACTACGGATTTCTGGACCAGGTCAGTGGCAGAGCAACGTCATGGATTATGCCAATGCAATATAGATACACAAATTTATTACCTTTTTTATTCTTAACTTCCCGATAAGGTAGTATTGCTTTGGGGTCACTGATGATCCATTTATCTATTTAAAAACATAATGTTATTCCCTTAGTTAAGCTAAGGTCCCAATTACGCCGGTGCCCGTCGGGGATGTAGCCCCGGCTGGCCCCGGCCGGGTTCAGGAGTCGAGCGGGCATCGGCTGTCGTGGTCACAATTAAAAGTTTCCTTCAGTAGCATTTTGTTAGAAATTTTGTCACCCTCTTTGGTCGGTATCCGGCAGGTACCCAGCAGATTCTCTGACGATGTCTTGTATTGACCTATACGTAATGCAGAACTCACGTATTTGTTGTGATCATTTGATCTGTGAGGTCACACATTTTACCCGGGTTTACGAAGTATACACCTTTATTCTGTTCATCTGGTCTGTGACGTAAGAAGTGTGTCCCGGTGGAATGCCGGCAACCGGAGGGGTACCTCCCGGTGTTCTCACGATGAGGTCACGGCGTCTTGTTGTCAGCGGGGCCCGGGTAGAATTTAACTCAGAATTAAATTCTTATCGGGGCCCCGACGGTCCAAAAAATAGCCCGGTAGCCGCAGGGTGCCCCGCGGGGCCACGTCGGGGTCCCGCCCGAAAGTGGCAAAAAACAGCCCGGGAACTACCCGCCAGGGCCCCTTTTCCCAATTGGGACCTTAGCTTTAGTCAGTTTTGTAGGTATGGTCTACTGACAGGAACGTTCTTACCGTACAGGTCCATGCTATGAAATGGATAAAGGAGAACATCCGAAACTTCGGCGGAGATCCTGACAGAGTCACCATATTTGGAGAGTCAGCAGGCGCTATCAGTGTCTCCTACCATCTCCTGTCACCCCTCAGTAAAGGTCTGTTCCAGAGAGCCATCTCTCAGAGCGGTACCTGGAAAACATTTCCCGTCAACCCCGATCCACTCACAGTCACCAAGATGTTTGCAGAAAAGGCCGGTTGTGAGACGGAGGACACGGCAGTCATAACAGCCTGTCTGAAAGAGAAGTCACCCGAGGAGCTGCTAGAGGCCTTCGCGAGCTTCGGGCCATTGATGTACCTTGTGCCGGTGGTGGATGGGACATTTCTAACTGCTGACCCTAAAGAGCTGATGGACAAAGGAGAAATCAACACAGCAGATTATCTTCTTGGGTTCAACAATCACGAGGGTGGATGGCTGGGCCTTTCTTACGTCCTTGAAGACTATGAAAATGGGATATCCCAAGAGCAATTTGTCAACGCAGTGAAGGCCGTGATGTCTTTTTCCTACCAGGTGAGTACTCAACAGTTTTTAATTTAATATCACTTTTTAATTGTTTTGAAAACTACCACTCTATGATCAGACAATCGTTTACCTTTATTCATTGTTGCCTTTGGGATCACTCGTAGGGCAATCCGAATTTCGACAAAATAGTTGATACCGTCGTCGCTGCGTACCAACCGACTACGCCCGACGACCCGATGGCGATTCTGTACGAGTTCACACACATCAATGGCGATGCCTGGTTCACCGGTCCGACAATACTTGTCGTAGAAAGCCATGCCAGTGAGTACCTTTTGGATACATGACTTTTGTATCTCGATAATGCATTGTATCCACATGCACAAATCTAACATATCTGAGATAGTATGACCTGACAGTATACATGTAACTATGTTGAAAGCGAGTGAAATAACAAGTAAACTCAACTGTGTTTTCTTTTTCTTAACCTCAATATTTTTTCCTTGAAAAATTAGTGCCAATCCTCAGTGCGTATAGGATATTGAAAGTTATGATATAATGTGATGTTTCGACATAGGAATATAGCAAGCAGCAAATGTGACTAATTGATTTTTTTAAATTTCTTGTTCAGTGTCCAACATCTTACAGTATTCTCTAATCAATGTTATTGACAGATGCCGGTGCCCGTGTGTTCCTCTACGAGAACAACTACCGACCGTCCATCTTCCCGAACAGACCGGACTGGGTTGGATGTGAACACGGAGACGATCTTGTGGCGATCTGGGGACTCCCGTTTACCGAAGGATACACTGAACCACAAAACTACACAAAGGAGGACCGACAATTCAGTCTCAATACCATGGCGCAGTGGGCGAACTTTGCACGAACTGGGTAAATATATAAACACTGGCCACTTTATACATAGACCAAATCGAAAACAGAATTTTTTTCCGAATTTCTTTTGTTTGAAGTTTACCGCTTAATTATCGTGAATTTAATACTGATTCTGCAGTTGGTGAATTTTTCAGTTGGCTTACGTAAGGAAACAGACATGCATATAGCAAGAAATGGCAGACAAAAAATGAGATAGTCTTTCCTTGCAGCTTTCTCGGATCTTTTACCTAACTTCCGGTCATTAATATTGTCCCCGACGTGCCCAGCGTAGCAAAATAACTTAAAAACAATACATCTGTACACAGAGGTAAAAAGCCCACCCAAATAGTATACGGCAACATTTAATACTGGAAGTATTTCGGTGGCATAATAATTCATATCGAGTTACCGGTTCTTGGTACTTGAAGTTCTTCATTAATCTATTGATCTGTTGCAGCGATCCCTCCGACTCCACCGGCGGACCCCCTGACAGCCCCTCCCTGCCGACCTGGCCTCAGTACACACCTGACAACCCGGTCTACATGAAGCTGGACGTGGTGCCGACTACCAGCGTCGGATTCAAGCCGGAGAAAGTAAAACTTTGGACCGAAGTCATTCCAGATCTGGCTGCTGCTCCAGGTAAGAAGATTAAAAGTGATTAGATAGTACCTTAGATCCGGTCCTTTCCCACACTTTTATAATTACAGTTAACGTTATCATCTCCGCTTCGTAGCCCTTGGACCACACAGTTGTTCAAGCCCTATAGAGATAGACTATACTAAAAGATTAGGCATACAATTTTCATGATTCTTTTGAACTGAAACATTTCATTTGGACGGTTGGTTTGTGAATTTGTGTTTCCTCTTCAAGTATCAACGAATCCATGACGTCAAGCCTAAAGGTGACCCAGCACACTGTGGGTGGGATGTGGAGAAATTCAAGAATTGGCATAATGCCAGATTGTACTACATCATACCTTCTCCATAGTCACAATACATTCACCAAAACACTTCCCGGAAGTCTGAAATTTCTGATTTATTGTTTTTATTTTATGCGCAGGTACGAAAGAGTGTCCAGTTGTGTCAACAGAGTCTGGACAGGTGAGAGGGACTGTCCTGTATGCCACTGACCTTCCAAACAAGCCCATCTACACGTACCTCGCCATCCCGTACGCAGCGCCACCTGTCGGAGATCTCCGGTACCGCCCGCCCAAGCCTGCCCTCCCTTGGGAAGGGGTCAGGGAGGCCGTAGATTTAGGTTCTTACTGTCCGCAAAATCTGACGTTCCTCAACTCGATGGACCTCCCTTACAAAGTTGGAACGAACATGACCATGAGCGAGGACTGCCTCACGCTGACGGTCTTTAGTCCGACTGTAGCAGCTGACGCCGCCTTACCGGTGAGACTTTATAGAATATTAAATACAATATTCAACATCATCTAGTTTTCAATCTTAGTCATATATCAATTGGTGCACCCAAATCAGCAAGATTTTGGTCATCCTGAAGCAATTAGAATGGCACAAAGATGTTGAGAAGGATATCTTTAGAAAGTACGTATCAGAAACATTGTAGCAAGTAACTTTTAACGTATCAGAAACAATGTAGCCAGCAACTTTTATACAACTATCCTCAGGTCCTTTTCTGGATCCACGGAGGTGGGCTGTCCATGGGCATGGGGTCATTTTCTGGATTTGAGGCATTTGCCGCTCACCAAGAAGTCGTGGTGGTCTCCATCAACTACCGTCTGGGTGTGCTGGGTTTCCTCAGCACGGGAGACGACAGCATTCCTGGAAACTACGGATTCCTGGATCAGGTCAGTGCTTGATACATCGAGAGCAGTACATCAAAATCAATTCTAAAATTATGCTTACATGATACTAGTATAATCTAGTGTTATATTTTAGTGTTATGTATCAAGTCACAGCGTTTGCTTCCATCGCATGGTGACAATAGCATGCGTGTGTCTCTTTATACACATACAGGTCCGTGCCATGGAATGGGTGAAGGAGAACATCCGAAACTTCGGTGGAGATCCAGGAAGAGTCACCATAGCTGGGGAGTCTGCGGGCGGCGTCAGCGTCTCCTACCAGCTCCTGTCTCCCCTCAGCAATGGTCTGTTCCAGAGAGCCATCTCGCAAAGCGGCACCTGCACGACAATGCCTGTCAACCCGCAACCACTTCAGCTCACCAAGCTGTTCGCGGAAGAGGCCGGTTGTGAGACGGAGGACACGGCAACCATAGCGGCCTGTCTGAAAGAGAAGACGCCCGAGGAGCTTTTGGAGAAGTTCCAAGACCTACAAATGAAGCTCGGTCCGCTTTATTTCGGTGCTGTAGTGGACGGAACGTTCCTGACGTCTCAGCCCATGGATCTGATGCAGGCAGGGGACGTCAACAAAGCGGACTATCTTCTTGGTGTTAGCAACCACGAGTTCGGATGGCTGATGCTGCCGTTTGCGATTCAAGGGGACCCCCTGGCTGGGATATCCCAGGAAGACTTTGGCAGACTGACGAAGACAGTGTTGTCACAGGTTTATCAGGTAAGATTTATCCAATTTATCCAATGTCAAAACATAATGCTCCAACTCAAAAAGTTGAACTCACAGGAATTGTCCACGTAGTCACTCAGTCTTTTCCAGTTATCTGACCAAATCACACAGGATACGTGACGTTAGCAATGAGTCAAAGGTTGTTAAAAGTCTATAACGCCCCCCGTCACGTCTCAGAAATGCAATAGTTGTCGCATACCTCATTTTCATCATCATTGTATTATACTACAATAGTACTAATTATACTATACCATTATGCCATAATCTTCGAAAATATCTGTTGAACAAATTAAGTCCCTTTGAATTCTTGAAGGTCTATTCCATTCATATTCATTATCTCCTTAGTGAAATAAACATTAATAATAATTATTCTCCGTACCATTGCTTCATTTTCCATACTCAGAACAATCCAAACATAGACAGGATGGCGGACGCCGTCGTGGCTATGTACCCAGCCAAATCAGACGATCCCATGGCGATCGAGTACGAGTTCTCTCATCTGTATGGAGATTTCCTGTTTCTGGGACCCGCAGTATTCGCGGCTGATAAACATGCCGGTGAGATCTGTTTAGATACTTGATCGTTTACTTGTTATTACATGTACCAAGTGTATACAACAATATGCATACGAACTACCAAACCGTGCAAATATATTTTTCTCCTGGGCATCGAATCTGTGTTCATTTTCTAATAAGGCCATCAGTAGTTGTATACTTACTGATTTTATTGTTTAGTAGTTACGATTGTAATAACTTCAGTTTAGATATGTAATACATTTTCTTCAACGGTTGCTAAATTTGATACTCTATTTGTATTATTATTGCATTAATTATCTTTTTAAAATTAATTAAAATTCTAATTGTCTTTGTATGTCCTAATAAATATTATATGTTCCTTGTTTTATGGGAAGCTTGCTGAAATGAAAAATGCCTGGCCTCCAGGCTATGAATATATCAAACGGTGCTTTTTTCTTACTTTGTTATAACTATACACAAAACATAGTTTTGTACTTCATATAATTCTTTTTTACCCTTATCAATAGATGCCAGCGCTCGTGTCTTCTTCTATGAGAACCAGTACCGACCTTCCATCCACACGAACCGACCAGACTGGGTGGGGTGTGACCACGGCGACGACATATTCGTAGTGTACGGAATGCCGTTCATCGATGACACCGCCAGTTACAACATAACCTACTCCAAGACAGACGAGCACGTCAGCCTGAGCATGATGGCGTACTGGGCAAACTTCATGCGAACTGGGTAAGGACTTAGCCTCTACCATGCACGCTTCAGAGGCGGTTGAATTAAGAAATTGGCCAAATACACAGGTATCATGCCAGGGGAATTAGTACTCTAAAGGAGTTTACAGTTACTGATTTAGAGCGGCAAACTGTACTCCTTTAAACCGGACTAACTCCCCTGGGATAGTATCCATCTATTTGGATAATTTTACTCTTTTCGGCCGTGTATGTATAGGTATTGCGAACTAGTCAATTCAAATAGAGGCAGGAAGTTGGATATTTCAGACTTCTGGGAAGCGTATTGGGTTTTCCAATGTATTAGAACTGTGGAAGGAATATTATTATGTAACTTATAGTCGATCGCGCATCATAGCGTTAACACTTCCCGAACTCCTCCACATACCGCACACTACTGACCTTCCTATTAATTACCAGTCTATAAAACTCCCACCTGCATTCTATGCAACCGTCAATACTTGGACACCAAACAATTAAACTGACAATTCAGCCACCCAAAACAATATTTCTGTACATATAATAAACCCACAGCTAGTAGATACAGTAGAAAGTGGTGGCATTTTAGATAGGGCGCAGGATTGTTTTGGAGGCGTATCCTTTCAAATTGCGATATCTTGTATGGTCTATTATCTCACTGAATACCATGATCTGTTGCAGCGATCCCTCTGACTCCACCGGCGGACCCCCTGACAGCCCCTCCCTGCCGACCTGGCCTCAGTACACACCTGACAACCCGGTCTACATGAAGCTGGACGTAGAGCCGACCACTAGCGTCGGGCTGAAGGCGGAGAAACTCAAATTTTGGAACGAGGTTCTACCCAAACTAGCCACTGCAAAGAAAGATGAACTTTGAAATTCCCGCATAGAGAAACTAGAGTTCCCCGATCTCATACCTTCGCCAAATGATGTTAATCTTTATGACTGACAAATTATAGATTAGATTATTCCCCCCTGATTTAAGAAATAGGAACCTAATTTTCATGAATTATATCATTTTATCATAATCTCAACCAAAAGACAGTCTTATATTAACAAACAATGCATTCTAGCATTTCCTAATAAATTATGCAAATGAGGGCCTGATATGAATAAATTATGTTTAATGATGTTTACCTCAACTAAACTTTCAAATACCACAAGTATGAAATTCCAGGCAGTTATCATTACATAATTATAAAATTTCTCATTAATTATGCAAATTAAGTCATTATTAACATAATCAATATTTTCCTGTGTTTCTCTCGTTGTCAATTACCAATGTCACAAGCTTCAATTGTCCTATCATGGAATGCAGCTGATTTATAGAATTTCCCCATAAATTATGCAAATTACTTCCATATTTGCATAATTGTCACATAAGTATATTAAACATCGCCTAAGCTACCTACATACCAAAAATCATGACGATCGGTCAATCGGTTCTTGAGTTATCCCCTTTTGAATATCTTCAAGAATATATCCCTGCAGTTCCAGAGCAAGCCGCTAGGGGTCCCAAACTCACGTCACTTCTTCCCCAGCACAAGAGCTACCTACCATCCAAATTTCATCACCCCAGCATTTCTAGATCATGAGATATCAAAACCGGAATTTCAGCTGCAGTACCATAACAAGCCGCTAGGGGGCCCAAAATCTAATCATTTTGAGGTCTCATCTAGACCTACCCACCTACCAAGTATCAAGACAATCCATCAAGGCCTTCTCAAGTTATCGTGTTTACAGACAGACAGACACACACACACACACACACACACACACACACATACACGAACGCCCCTGAAAACATAACCTTCCTGGCGAAGGTAAAAATTGCATGCCTGCCGTGATTATGGCACATACAGTCACTGTACACATGTGAGTGCAAGAGAAACTAGAGTTCCCCGATCTCATACCTTCGCCAAATGATGTTAATCTTTATGACTGACAAATTATAGATTAGATTATTCCCCCCTGATTTAAGAAATAGGAACCTAATTTTCATGAATTATATCATTTTATCATAATCTCAACCAAAAGACAGTCTTATATTAACAAACAATGCATTCTAGCATTTCCTAATAAATTATGCAAATGAGGGCCTGATATGAATAAATTATGTTTAATGATGTTCACCTCAACTAAACTTTCAAATACCACAAGTATGAAATTCCAGGCAGTTATCATTACATAATTATAAAATTTTCTCATTAATTATGCAAATTAAGTCATTATTAACATAATCAATATTTTCCTGTGTTTCTCTCGTTGTCAATTACCAATGTCACAAGCTTCAATTGTCCTATCATGGAATGCAGCTGATTTATAGAATTTCCCCATAAATTATGCAAATTACTTCCATATTTGCATAATTGTCACATAAGTATATTAAACATCGCCTAAGCTACCTACATACCAAAAATCATGACGATCGGTCAATCGGTTCTTGAGTTATCCCCTTTTGAATATTTTCAAGAATATATCCCTGCAGTTCCAGAGCAAGCCGCTAGGGGTCCCAAACTCACGTCACTTCTTCCC